CACACACACACACACACACACACACACACACACACACACACACACACGATCCTTGTGTTAAGTACCTTCATTTTATGTGCCAAGATAATTTATGCAGAAACTTTTTACCGAGCATTATATTGCAGTCCAATTTCTATACCCATGTACACACACAGATTCAAGTCTAGACTTCAAACTCTGGTCATGGGTAAATAACTGGATGTCTATGGTGGAAGATGTTTGCAGTGCTCTCCATTTGAGTCTCCACTCCATTAGATCCACAGCAGGGAAGTTTCTATTATGTTGGGCACAAACAAACCCTGAGGGCAGGCCACAACACATCTGGGCTGACTGTACTCGATTCAATTTGGGTGATCCAAAGAGGTTGACAACGCACAGCCTGCATTCCCCCGCTCATTGTTATTCAAATCAGAGGAGACAACACACAATCAGAGGGGGACTCTGGGGATCTCAGCATAGACAGCGTAAACACACACACACACAAAGTACACTCAAATGCAGACACTCGTGGAAAAGCAAGTGCCAAAGATTCCCTCTCTCTTTCATACACACGGGCGGGCGGGCGGGCACACGCGCGCACGCGCACACGCACACACACACACACTCCTTGGGGGATCCACTCCGGTCCTGCCGGGCAAAAACTGCAGCACAATGGGCAGAGGAGGCAGGACAGGAAAAGGGAGGTGGGACATGAATAAATCATGCCTTTAGACCACACAGGACACAGCATAAACACACAAATAAAAAACTAAAAAAAACAACCTGCCACACCCACGCTACAGCAAACGAATGCAAGCGTTTAACGCATAAAAATACATGCATACATGCACAGCATGCAGTGTGTCACTCACACACACACACACACACACCACTTCGGCATGAAAAATGTGCTCTCTCTTTCAATACACACACAGAGCAAAAGTGGGACTCCAAAATTAGCAGGGCAGAGTTCATGTCATCTGCCTAGCTATTACTGGAGCAAAATTCTGCCAGCGCTACACACACACACACACTCCCACATACAAAAACACACAGTTGTGAATGTCTGAGTCAGGCAGACAGGGAAAGCTAATGCAAACTGAAGTCATGATGCCTCACGCTGTAATCAAGAGCATTATGCCTCCTGTAATTACCTCTAAACATTAATTTGGCTAATAACCTTTAGCTCTTAGTGCCACATACAGGGAGCGGTGTGAAATGCCCTGCAATCCCTCAGCCATCACAGTGACAGCAGCGGTGCAAAGATGGACTGTTGATGTGTAAAACCGCAGATACAGGCCTCTGGTCTCCAAGCATGTTTTGATGCAGTATCTAATACAGCACTGTGCTATATTTGATCTCACTAGCTCAGTAGTCTCATCCTTGTTGAGAACCATAACATCTGTTTAATGTTTCTTTTGGTTGGCACTTCACTCTTACAGGGGTGCAGGACAAAGCCAGTTAACTAATATCCGAAGCAAACTAGATGTGTGTCCGTTTAAAAACACTTCATTTTACAGGAAACGATAAAATGGGTCTGAATCCAATCATAAAGCCGTGTTTTATGGCTGGCTACTTCTCGGCACAAACTGTGAAGCTGCGGATTGGATTTGCCGTTTTTCTCCTAATTTAATGCCACACATATTCCTGTCAAGGCCTCGTGCCTTTGCAGTTGGGATCTAAAGAGCCGGAAAAAAACCCCCAAAACAGCAGCTGACCAACCTCCAACACCCCGAGCAGGGAACGACAGTCCTGTGGTATTGTTGCAGTTTATGCAGGAGCTTGTGTCGAGACTCTACTGAAACTAAACTGGATGGATTAAAAAGCCACACCCACCAGATCATAATAATAGTAATGATGGACAGGAAGTTAAAATGAATTTGACTGCCCTCAAGGAAAGAATAAAGATGTCTGTGCAACTTGTAAAATGTACCTCAGTGCATCAAATTCCGCGTAAGTACGAGAAACGCACAGTCCAAGGTCACGCACACACTTACAGGTTCAATCCAGTCTGTTAACCACACAAGGCCCCTCACGAAACTCACCACCACTCAAGCTCATCTTGTCGTGACAGGAAGGGGGTTGCAACTCTTTCCAACCAGCCCATGCAATTAGAATTGACTTAACAGTAAAGTATTCCCCAAGGACACAGCTGCTCCTGACTTTAGTCAAAACACACATAGTTCAGGCAAGATACGGCCGATTATGATTCAGTTTCAAGAGCATTGCTGATGCCGAGTGTCCAAGTGTAGAACATGCAGCGAATACGCACTCATTTAAAAGATTATTTCCCCAACTGAGAACAATGTGGTGCACAAAGGTAATCTCTGTCACTGAAGGCTTCTCATTTGACTTATGATAACTCCTTTCTCTGCTGCAGACTCTGCCGCTGTCAGTGCGCACACACACACACACCACTCCTTTTCCCAGCGCCACTCACTGACCTAACAAAGCCTCTCCACAGTCACCAGTCTGACCCAGTAACCTGCATGCCTCTTATCTACCGGGGACGTCCAGCTATAAGCTCCCATCTGAGCGCTCCCACTCATGCAGTATGTTGAGACGTGCGAGTCAACAGCCATGGGTGATGACCGAAAAGCTTCTTTGAGTTTTTAGAATTAAAGAAATGATTAGGCTCTTGTTTTAACTTAATGTCACGGTGATATGTTGCCTTCTTAACAAAACCCTCCATTTAAACAACTGAGCTAAGGCCTAGGTGTAAGCTGATGAATATCCCTTGGTGTAAAAAAAAAAGAAAGTGATCTGCATTGTTATCTCCTTCTCCTTCTTTGTTGTTAGATTGGATTTAACAACATCACACCTACTGTGCACAATGAGATAAACTCGTAAAAAACAAAAAAAACTTACCCCTTGGTTTCCTTTGAAACAAATTGATGGCTCACTTGGCAAAGAGATCTGAGGTAAAAGAAAGACAGAAGCATTTATTGTGACTTTGTTGCAGGCATGAACACAGCTCTGTAATTTAAATTAGTCAAGATAACAAAAAAAAGATGCTGTAATGTGTTTACATGCAAGTTACACAATCAATAATGCCTGTGTGCTGTTAATGGTATCCACTGGAGCTAATTACGATCTACTTGTCAATTAACTTGGCAGACTGCAGGCTCTCTGCTTCACTTTGAAGCACAAAGAAGGTTTCCCAGCAAACAGCTGACGGGCTCCTCTTTCCCGACAGTCACAGGGTTCAGTCGTGGTATGCTGCTCAGCGATGTAGCCAATTGATTCAGAGGTGACTGTAAACTAGTTGGAGCGACTCTCATTTAGATATCTCATTTATATATTTATTATTTATAGTCTACTAAAATAATCTAAAAATAAATAAATTAGGAAAAGCTAATATATATATATATATATATATTAATTCAACAAAAATGCGACAGTAAGACACGTTTGAAAACACAAATTAGCTCAGCCGACAACTTTTACAAGAGTAAATTCATCTCCAAACACGCGCGCACAAACACATAAACACCCGAGGTGAAGGTACCTTGAGTTTTTGGTAAGCCTCCAGTGCTCTGATAGCCGTGTCCGTGAGCTTGACATGGTACAGCGTCCTGTTGGTGCTGTTTTTGTTATTTTTTCCACAGAAGAGTCCGTAATGGTGCTCCTGCCTGAGCGAAGCCATCGCTGGCTTTTCTCTCTGCCCCGCAATTAAAGCTGCTTTCCTCTCTCGGCTCAGCACTCTCCCTGAAACGTCACGGGGTGGGCGGAGCCTCGGTGACAACAGTACAGCGCAGCAGACTGTACACTGCATTTCTTCATGACATTTACTACCAATTTAACATCTAAAAAAAATATTTCTTTCTTTAAAAAAGATCATAAAAATTCTGTTGATATTCATTCAGTCGATCTTCATATTTGTTTCCTGGTTTGTCCCTTGAAAAATCATCTGTAGGATTTGTTGTATATTTGTATACATTTTCCTTTACTCATGTAGGAGCTGCACCATCATTTTCTAATACATACAATGGGTCAAATGGCGATGTATTATGTGAAAGGGTTGATGACAAACCCAATTCTTCCGAGCTCTACGGAGCGTTTTAGCTTCATTCAGCTCATTGTTTTGGTTTTCACTACACGCTACCTGCCCAGGACCCAACGGCAGGCAGATACAGTTAATGGCTAGATGGTGAACATAGTTGAGCATTAAGCTAAGCGCCTGGAGACCAAAACAAATTTAGAGAGAGTAAATATTGAACTTACATTTGTTAGGTATCTCCTTAGGTATCTCCAAAACCTGGGAAATGATGTGATACGATGCATGTAAACCATGGAGAGAATTGAGTCACCACATTGTGCAGGCTCTGTTATGTAATGACTATCAACTATGTTAGGAACGACCAAACAAGCCGATCAACATCTCTAGCAGTGTAGTGCCAACTATAATGAATGTGCCAGAGTGTGTGTTTAATGATAGGCCAACATTTAATTGGATAATGATTTATTAATGAAACAAGACAAGGCTTTGTTAGCTTTGCCAGCCAACAAATGTGGCCTGTTAGTGAGATTGTTTATATCTTATCCAAGTGTAACACACTTACCCTCTCTCAGTATGACGGAATATTTATCAACCCATCTCATCATATTATTATAAAAACTAAATAAATTCTAAAAACAATTAAATTAAATTAATAATTTCTTATCTTCTTTGGTATTTTGATGATTGCTGGATAATATATATATTGATATTGTCCAATGTCAAGTCTGTATTTGATCACTTGACGAGCGGATACTATGAGGTATGTGTGTATGCTTCATAACTAGCGTGCACCAGGGCCGGTCATAATAGTGTGTATTGGGGCCCATCAGAACTACACTCACACCACTGCTGTGGATCCACAATCAGTAAATGCATTCATCCTGAAGTAGTAAAAATAAATTATATAGTTTTGGTAGAGACAGTATAGCTTATTATGTGTGCTATGCCAAGACATCCACCAAATTCATAATTAGTTTTCTCTCTTATTTCCAGACAATACAGCATGTACTAAAACAGTGTAAAAGTGACTATGATTGTATGACAATCTTTATATTAACTAAACTGAAAAGAGTGTGTTGGAGAAGTTTTTTGGTACCTTTAAGGGTGTCCAGCTCCTCAGTTGACCTTTCATGTACAGTATATGTGTTGTGTCTCAGTTGCTCTGTAAAAGTACATTTACTGCCATAGGCCACACTGCCTGTAAACCTTATCAAATGCTGGCTTCCAGGGAAAAGACAGACTCTGTTAAAACTCAGTATTAATAGTGTTAGAAATCTCATTCAGTGATATATAATAGTGATAACCAAATGTAAAAGGTCAAAGTTAATTTTACATTCTGCATGTAGAGTGTTGTACAAACTGATGATGTCCAAGCATCCTTGTCGTAAGACACTCAGTCAGAAAAGCAATGAATAAAATGTACTAATTTATATGCACTGATTTTACTGTGGGCTTATGGGAGCAGCCATGTTCAACAGTTAGATAAATAATTAAATCATATTTAAACAATGTAAATATTTAAATGGGTATATCATTACTGCAAATACCTGTCGTTTTTAGTTTTTGAATCAAATCCTAAAGTGTGTGGTGAACCATGTGAGGAGCTAAAAGAATAAAGAAAAAAGGAAAAACAAAAACAAAAGCTACATTCACAATGTGGGTCAGTTTGCGAATAATCCTTGACACAAAAGATGCTTATCCTGAGGGGTTAATGGGCTTAGTTATCGTAATTTTTGACAGTCTGTCCAACTTTTAATTTCTCTTGTTGGTTGTTGGAACCAACAGAAACAGGAGCGCCTCAAACTGATACCAAATCCACTGCTGGGTAGATCTGTTATCTGTTAAGAAAAGCCTCGTGTTGAATTCATGTGTCTCACACAGCTCAGCAAACATGACCAAGCTGAATGACGACAAAACCTAAAGAACTTAAGTGTTTGCATAACTGCGAGAAAGCGCACAGGTGAAGGTGGAGGTTGGCGAAGCAGATGAGTCTGACATGTAAGCCTATTTAGTTAAATTGCTAAGCTACTCTCTGAATGAAAGTACATAACAGGAGGGGGAGGGGTTACTGGAGGTCAACAGAGAACAGGTGGTGCTGAATCTTTACATCATGCACTTCTATCAATCTGAGATTTGAAAAAAACCTGAATCTTCTAACCACCATGTAATTCTGTATATCCAATAAACCGTGTGTTATAATAAATATATGAAAATTCAGCTTCAGAAGAGACCGCATACTGTGTAATAGTACTTAAAACAGCAGTCCTTCCCCGCACTGATGCATGTAGGTTTGAAGTCGCTCCTCCAACAGCCAAGCAGTGCAAGATTAACCCGTGTCAGCCCCTCCCTCTTCTTTACCTGGCTCGTCTGTCTCATCCACTCATTGTCTCTATGGCTTGCCATCTGCTGCATGGGAAACTGCTAATGGACACCGTTCCCCTGGGAGTGACGTTTCACACCTGAGGTCAGTGACTCCCAGGACGCCTGCAACTGGTAAGAGGCAGCTTGTTCACATTGTATTATTGTCCCTCATGTTTCTTCTTCTTTAGTGCAGAGCGGTGTGAGCTAAGAAAACTGTAAGCGTCTGATAACATGAGTGTGAAATATACAGATTACATCAAAGCCTCATGAGGAGAACATAACGGTCTATGAAACATGATATGTACATGCATGTCTACATATGGCTCTGTTGTGAGTGGGAGAAGGAGAACAGGACTTTTTTGTCTGCATTAGGTTATGTATGTGAAGACATTATGTATTAGTTTTGCAGAGCCATCATAAATGCAGTAGTGTGAATATAGAACCCCTTAACTATTACTCAGCATCCAAAAGAGAAAGAAAGAGTTAATTCCAAGAGCATTGAGTTTTAGCTACTTCAGTGTACTTCATGAACAAAATGGGATAAAAAAAGCTGCAGTTTGTAGCAATTGTAAAGCCATTATATGGAGGATGTGATTATAGCATCACCAAATTTTGCAACGTCTAAATGTTAGTTGGCCAAAGTATAACATACTAAATTTAAATGATAAAGTTATAAGGCATTGGCATTCACAACCAGACAGGTGAGACTCTTAATCAGCGTTTCTAGTTAGTAGACTGTGGAGAACGCACAGTAAATGTGCTGTTTCCATAACTTTCCACTAAATGCACAAGAATAGTGCACTAATTGAAGACATCACAGATTCCATCTTTAAAGTCTTCTATATCTATAGATCCGTTTCTGGGTCATTGAGAGGAAGTCACCTTTTTCTACTTGAAATGTTCATCGATTGAATTTTGTTGTCCCCACAAACACACATATACTGTATATGTAAACACATATGACATATGTTTTTCATATGCATTCAATGACACACACAAAAAGCATGCACATGATGACTGCAGTGTGCATCACTGCACATTTCACTGTGAAGATTTCCACAAAGACAATGCAAATGACTCAAAGACTGAGGCTTTAAGTGAGTGTGCAGCGTGCTCATTTATATTCCAGCGTGCATTGTGCACATGCACGCACACACACACACACACACACACACACACACACACACACACAAACACACACTCACACATTGTTATTTCAGCTGGCAGAGATGGTGTATCAGGCAGAGTGAGAAAGTGCTTACGAATTTGGGAAAGGTATCGGGTTAGACACACCAACGCCTTTTCTGTGAGACGCTAACGCTTTGCCTGGTGTCAAACTTTCACCGGCCGAAATTTTAGATTTTCTGTTTTTGCAGCTGCTTCATCAGAATATTTAAGTTAATAATTGATTTTTATTGTACTGACCTTCAGCATTCAGAGAAGATTAAATCCTAATAAGTATTTCTGTTTTTTTAATGACCTCCTTTTACATATAGCAAAAAGTTAAAAGGACGCACTGTGAGAGAACTATAGATGCTATATATATATATATATATATATATATATATATATATATATATATATCTCAAATTGTCTACTCTGATACTTCAAAAGTCAAATAAATGTGTAAGCTGACACACGTTATCAAATGTTTCATAAATCTTTATGTCCGTTGTATCTTACACCACATTTTATTCATCATTTTCTAAAGAAGGACAAGCTTATTCCTCCACTGTATTTAAAACCAGTTATATAATTTAAATTAGGTTATTTTTAATCCATGTGCACTAAACTTTAGATGAACAAAAATGAATTTCCAACCTAATAAAGGAAAACATTATGGCACAGGTGTTGTCCAATGCTCTAAGGTTCTAAGATGTGAAGATGTCATTCAAATATTTGCAAAAACAAAAGCTCTCTTTCCCTAACACCCAATTTATCAGCTGTGGTTGATAACTGAAATGTAATGGTGAGTTTAGTTTGTTGAAACTCATCAACTATACCACTGAGTATTTGGTTAAACAGTCTTGTTGTATTTTAAAGGATTATCTTAAAGTCTTTTTTCGATGTTTTCATGAATTGGTCAGTAGCTTCTGGTCATGAGACGAGAGATTACCGTTGGTTGAAACTTCATGACCCCATGCACAGGAATGTGCCCTCAAAAGTGAAACCCAAAGTTAAATGTTGGTTTAAGATATAAAAGAAAATAAAAAAAACTATAATCAACATTTCTTTGTTTTCTTTTAATTACCTGAACAGGAAAAAGAAGGTAACTTATAACTGTGTTGGATAA